TTACTGTACTACCTGTTGCAGAGTTAACCTGCTTAGGCCTTTTTTATTAAAACCAGTTAGGCCTGATTTAAAATTCTAGTGTAATTCTGCCTTTGAAAAGTTGGGAGCAGATGGCACAAAGCTTGTTAAAACCCTGAAACTTTGTAGATTCTTTTTTCTCTTCATATCCGCAGAGCAGCCCCAGCCAGGACTCCGCGGGCAGCCTGGGAGTCCGCAGGGAGAGGCCCGGGGGCTGTGCGAGGAAGGTGACGTTTGCTGTGAGGAAGCTCCGTGCAGGGGTTTCTCCCTGCCGAGCGGCTGGGGACGCTTCCAACGGGGACGGAGCATCCCGCGATCCTCCGGCTGCGGCACCACACTGGGCAGGGACTGCCCGTGCCCCCTGCGCTGCTGCTCCAGGTGTGTGACACCGCTCAGGGCTGTGGCAGGACCCGAGGGAATAACGTGAGGCTGTGTCAGAGGAGGGGCAGGTTGGATATTGGGAAAAGGTTCTTCCCCCAGAGGGTGTTTGGGCACTGAAACAGCTTCCCAGGGCAGTGATCACAGAACCAAGCCTGACAGAGCTCAAGCAGCATTTCAACAATACTCTCAGGCACATAATGAGATTGTTGGGGATGTCCTGTGCAGGGCCAAGAATTGGACTCAATGATTCTTGTGGGTCTCTTTCAACTCACGTATTCTGTGGTTCTGTAAGTGTCATCCCTCTTTCTTTGCTTTTCCAAACTGTTTTGCACATGGAAAGTGCAGGATGCTGAGGCACTGGCACAGGTTCTGCAGAGAAGCTGTGAATGCCCCATGCCTTGAAGTGCTCAAAGCCAGGTTGGATGGGGCTTGGAGCAACCTGGGCTAGTAGAAGGTGTCCCTGTCCATGCTGGGGGAGCTTCTTCCCACTAGAGCTTCTTCCCACTATCCCATCTATTCCTGCCCTCTGTCAGTTTGAAGCCAGTCCCCCATGTTCTGTCACTCCATGCCCTTGTTCAAAGTTCCTTTCCAGCTCTCTTGAAGCCCCTTTTGGGTACTGGAAGGTGCTCTAAAGTCTCCCCAGCACCTACTCTTCTCCAGGCTTCATTTTGTTTCTTCAAAATACATACCAGTTACAATCTTTGGGGTTTGGGGAAGGAGTTCTAGTCTTCATGAAGTCCAGGTTCAAACAGCTTTGAAAGATGTCGCTTTTGTAGTGTTGGGAAGACATGTTAAATCTTTGACTTAACTGTGTACTGTCCTCAGTGTCCTTCTTTTGTTACGTAAGTTGTCATCTAAATATAGTTGTCTGTCTAGACAGGTAACTTTCTGTGTCCCTGTGATCTTCAGGCTTGAATTTGAGCTGGACATTGTCAGTTGTTTTAGTGTTCTGGTTTACATGCTGTACTACAAGTCTCTAATCCAGGCCCACAGAACTCACTGGTGTTCGTAAGCTGCAGCTCAACCTCTGTGGTCATTCGTGTTCTGAAAATCCTTGTGTTTAGGTATTCAAAGACAGGGGAAATGTGGAGATTTGTGTTAGTCAAGTGATACTGAAAATGTCTAACAAATCATTATGACCACAGTGAAACTGGTTTCGTTTCAGGAGTGCCAAGTACCAAAGGGCATCCAGACAGTCTGATTCCCGTGGAAAACCCAGAGCCCATGTTTTTATCCCAAATGGTAAGAAAACTTTACTATGGCTTCCTGCAGTCCTGAACTAAGAGAACAGCATTTTCCTCAAAAAGCTGCAGCTCCTGTGAAAATGTCACAAGTGTTTGGCTCAGCCTCTGCGCAGTAACTGTGCTTTGAGCTGCTGCTAATGGGATATTAATGCTGAAGTGTTTGAAAGGCTTTGTTTACTGTACTACCTGTTGCAGAGTTAATCTGCTTAGGCCTTTTTTTAAAAAATGAGTTAGGCCTGATTTAAAATTCTAGTGTAATTCTGCCTTTGAAAAGTTGGGAGCAGATGGCACAAAGCTTGTTAAAACCCTGAAACTTTGTAGATTCTTTTTTCTCTTCATATCCTACATAATGAAATGGATGTTAGTTTATGTGGAACTCTTTGATACTCAGAATTAAAAGGCTTATTTCCTTTTGATTTGTTTGCTGTGTCTTAAGTAGAGTGGAAACTTGTCTCGAGGACATCTCTTTGGTGATTAGCATGTGGATAAAATTAACCTGTGTGGTGAGAAGATTGCAGCAGTGTCTCTGCATGGCTCATGGGAGACTTAGTCAGTTGAACAAAATTATGGTGGATGGAGTATTCACCACTAGATAAAGTTAGAGATTTTTACCTGCCTAACTTGCCTTTAGGCCTCCTCATAGTCTGATGATTCCTGGATTCCACTTCAGGAAGATTCTGCTCTGTCCCTACAGTTCCCCAGTCAGGGTTAACAGTGCTTCATTCATACACAGAATTGTTGGAGATCAGCAACTTGTCTAAACTGAAACTTGTAGTTTCACTGCTACTTCTTGGGCCATAAATGTGGAGAATACGCTTAATCAGCACTTAGAATATATAGTTTTAATTTAAATAGTGTTTATAGGGTTTTAGTCCCCAAAATGTTATATGAGGTCTTGACTACAAAGTCTCCATGATTCCCTGGTAGAGGTTGTAACATGTTTTGTGCCAAGACCTTGTGTTCTTGTGTGGAGATGATTCTAACTGTGCACTCAGCAATTCTGTTTGCTTCTAAAAGTTTGGGCACTGCTAGCAGAGGCTTTGATATATGTTTTTCTGCTCTTGTTCTGAAGGATTGTCGTCGAGAAGCTGCAGTACAAGATCCTTCACTGCTACTGAAAGACAGCAGAGGACCTGAAGGTGAGACACATCCATCTCCTGCTACAGCTCCATTTTCCTGTGGGAAAACTGATTAATTAGAGGAAAAGGGAGTTTTAGTTTTGTCTTAGGTATTTTTCTTCAGTATAGAAACTTTTGAATGAAAATATTCAAAGGTTTTGTTGGTAAAAAGAATACCATTTACATTGTTAAATTTTGCAAAGTTTACCCCATTCTTGCTGGTATTGCAGTAGCTCTTGTGATTAACTGAGTGGGACTTCTACAAGTGCACCAGAGTGTTGAGATTCCTTTTGATAATCAAACTATTCATGTCTCTGAATAGGGAATTTGGGGAGGGAGTAGGACCTTGTTTGGATGCATTTTCCTGTTGTGAATAATGATGCTACAAAGTCATATTTGTCTACAAGCAACCTGTGTCATGGAAGTATGGTTTTAACCCTTAAGAATCTTAAGACATCACAATGTCAATGTCTCTTCCTTTAGCTTCTGAATCTGCCAGTTTCAATCAGATTTGGGGATATACAGAAAGCTGAACATGAGCCAGCAGTATGCTCAGGTGGCCAAGTAGGCCAATGGCATCCTGGCCTGGATCAGGAACAGAGTGGTCAGCAAGACCAGGGAGGTGATTCTGCCCCTGGACTCGGTGCTGGTGAGGCCACACATTGAATCCTGTGCTCAGTTCTGGGCCCCTCAGTTCAGGAGGGACATTGAGGTGCTGGAGCAGGTGCAGAGAAGAGCAACGAGGCTGGTGAAGGGACTGGAGCACAAGTGCCATGAGGAGAGGCTGAGGGAGCTGGGGGTGTTCAGCCTGGAGAAGAGGAGGCTCAGGGGAGACCTTCTCACCCTCTACAACTC